GGGGGGGGGGGGGGGGGGGGGCCTACAGCCTTGAAACCCACCCGGGCCCTCTCTGCGCTACGGCGGTGGGGAGCGGAGCGGAGGGCGGCCCGGTGGGGCGCGCCAGGTGCCACAGGTTAATTGATGCAGAGCAATTAACAGGCTAAGCGCTCTCCCCCAGGCTCCTCCGCACCTGCCCACCCGCCTCCAGGCCAGCTCGGGCCCGGCCCTCACCACCCTCTTCCCTCGACGGTGCCCGCGGCCCGGCCCGGGGAGGGGAACGGAGAGGAGAGGGCCGGCTCGGTTCCAGGGGCGGACCCCGCTCGGCTGCGGCGCCCTCCCTGCCCGCAACCACCCCTCTCCCCGCCCCACCGCGCCCCCTGGCGGCCCGCGGCCTCCGCCATGGAAATAAATGGAAATAACACATAAGGGGTGTTTATGTATATGGCTTTATTTTCACTGAATTTCACTGAATTTTTAGAGTTGGAAGGGACCATAGAGATAATCTAGTCCAACTCCCTTGCTAAAGCAGGATTGCCTGGAATTTTGCCTCATGTTTTCACACAGCTCAGCAAATAGAGTGAAGGTAAAAATGGAAGGCAGGTGGTACGTTAGGAGAATGGAGAATCATAGAATGGTAGAATGAGTCATCTGGGTTGGAGGGGGCCATTGAGATCATCCAGTCCAGCCATTAACCCAACACTGACAGAACCACCACTAAACCATGTCCCTCAGCACCACGTCTGCACAGCTTTTAAATACCGCCAGGGATTCTGCCCCTCTGCTCCGCTCTGGGGAGACCCCACCTGGAGCAATGTGTCCTGCTCTGAGGTCCCCAACATAAGAAGGACGTGGACCTGCTGGAACAGGTCCAGAGGAGGGCCACGAAGATGGTCAGAGGGCTGGAGCACCTCTGCTATGAAGACAGAATGAGAGAGTTGGGGTTGTTCAGCCTGGAGAAGAGAAGGTTCCGGGGAAACCCTATAGCCCCTTCCAGTACCCAAAGGAGCTCCAGAAGAGATGGGGAGGGACTCTTGATCAGGGAGGGGAGCCACAGGATGAGGGGGAAGGGTTTTAAACTGAAAGAGAGGAGATTTAGATGAGATATTAGTAAGAAATTCTTTCTTGTGAGGGTGGTGAGAGCCTGGCCCAGGTTGCCCAGAGAAGCTGTGGCTGCCCCATCCCTGGAGGGGTTCAAGGCCAGGCTGGATGGGGCTTGGAGCAACCTGGTCTGGTGGGAGGTGTCCCTGCCCAGGGCAGGGGGTTGGAACTCAATGATCTTTAAGGTCCCTTCCAACCCAAACCATTCTGTGATTCTATGATATTAGTAGCAATTGTATTTAGCATTTTCTCAAATTTGTTGTGCTTAGTGTGCTTGAGTTCTTATTACACAGAAAAGTGTGGGAGGTGCCCATGTGGACAATATTGGATGGAATTTTTTACTGCAAGAGCAATTTTCAAGCAACCAGTCCCACAGTTTGAAGAGTACAGTTCTTAGGCTGAAATCTGTCAGTTTCAAAGTCCTCATTATGGTTCTCAAATTTAAGCAGGCTTCACATAGCAGTTATTATAAATGATGGAAGTAACTGCAAAAATAAAAGTGCATTCAGCTTATACAATAAATCTTTCAGACTTTGTCTGAAGACAAGTAAATATTTCTAAAATATTGCCAGGGGAAAATCTCATAATATTTATAAATCTTCTACTCTGTGACTTATGTTATCAGGCAACATTTTATGAAGTCTAATTTTGTTCTCCAGACTTGTGATAATAATAAAGAGGAAATGCAATTCCTTTTCTCATTGAACTATTCCAGGATTCAGTAAGTGAGAAACAGCTACTTTTGGGAAAGCTGACCGTTCCCACTGGTTCTCCAAGGCACCGGGTATGACTCTACAGGCCATGTATTAAATGGTGCATTTACATTTGTATCTGTTTGATGCTACTTAAAAATGCTTCTGAGATTTAATTCTTAACTAGGGTTGGTGGGGCTTTTGGAGCTATTTAAGAGAGGTGATCTTCACAGAGGTGATGGGACTTTCAATAACTAACCACATGCCTTCACATGCTCCTGTGCTGTAAAGAGGTTAAATTCCTAAGCTTCCCTTTTGCTGAATTTAGGAGTAGCTGCAGTTATAACTCAGTGCTCCCAAACAGTTCTCTGAAATTGCCTCATCAACTTTGCGTGCAGTGGCAATCAAAAAAAACCCCACAAAACATGGTATGTTATGGGGAAAACCACTGAGAACAAGATAGGGGGAGTTGTTTAGCTGCTGTATAAAAAGTTGGCACAGCCTCAGATCGATTACTTCATCAGTTTGTGTCTTCATGGCTCGAGAAGGATGTGGAGGAGTGAGGGAAAGCACAGAGGAGGGATGGCGCTGCTGCCTTACAGCAAGAGCAATAACAGCTGGGGCTGTTCCATGTGGAGAAAAGGCGAGGGAGAGACTGGTCAAGATTTACAAAACCATGAAAGATACAAAGTTGTTGTTAAGCAAATCCCACAGTATGACCATGAGGAGGCACCTTGTGAAAACACTGGAAGATCATGTTTGAGACAGGGAAAGAAAATGCTTTTCTGCAGAGCAGATTGTGAACTTCTACAACTTACTGCCACCAGAGGCTAGGGACTTGGACACTCCCCTAGGTTCAAGGAAGCATTATTCATATTGATGGCAAAGACATCTGTGAGTGGAAACTGAAGGAAATTGACAGGGATGTACCCTCCAGCATCCCTAACACAATAAGGGATGCAGGGGAAGTACCGGGAAGTGACCACACTAAGGAGCTCTTCCTAAATAACACCTCCTTTTACTGACGTTGGGGCCAAAATACTGGGCTAGATGCTCCACTGATGCCAGGTGCAGTCACTCTGTAGGACATTTACCTTCATTTCCGTGTAATTATTTCACTGCGGAAATGGTGAGACACCTGTAATAGACAATTTTGATGAAATGAAGTTCACACCCTGCAAGTAATTAAGATCATTCATAACTTCGTAGCCTTGTGTGAGCCTCTGTGAAGTCAGGGCCCAAGGCCCTTTTACAAATACTAAGTGTCCATTCTCCTGTAATTACGTGGGGTTTATGTTTGACGTGTGACCTGCTTGCTCAGAACAATTTAACCTGCAATCCGCATGTTGGTTTGTGAAGAAACTGGAAATGAAAGCCACCGTGTAGACCAAATATTTTTCTTCCTTAAAAAAAGCAAACAAACAACAACAAAATCATCCCTCAGAACAGCATCCAGAGAGAATAGCCTGCATCTGAGAACACTTGAATAAATTCATGCTTTGTAAAAGCAAATATTTGGTTGAGACAATTTAGCCGAGTATTGTCTGCTGTAATTTTCACCCAAAATCTAGCCTTACTCCATCTACTTCACGACTCTCCTATCTACTTGGTTTTCCAACTCCAAGGATGAGATTACTTCAAAGTAATCAAGTCTAAGATGGTAAATTGCTAGAAAATTAACCTGTACAAATCTCCCTTTTTGTCTGAAGCTTTGCAGATCATGTTTTCAAATAACTCTCTGCCATCACAGAAGGTCTTGTGACTTTCACAGAAAAGTACACCTTTAACATCGCAAAAGTCTGTTTGGTTTTTTTTCCAAAGCAAAAGCTTCTTGCTTTGGTGTCCCCAAACACCATCAACAGCCTCTTACATACTGGGAAGGTTGAAACATGCAGTGGTGGCAGTGCTCGTGAACTATGGGACAGGTCACCCAGGGGTGTCAGGGTGGCCTTAGAGTCTCTTGATAGAAGACCTCGTGAGAGGCAGAAGGAAGCCTCACCCGTGAGCAGCAGATGCCTGGGGCATGGGTCTGTGTGGTCTGGGCACGACATGACAGCGTTCAAGAGCTGGGAGAAGGGGGAACGGGAGGAATTACATGGACCTGTTGGAACGGGTCACAGAATCACAGAATCATCATGGTTGGAAGGGACCTCTGAGATCATCGAGTCCAACCACAAAAAAAACCAAAAAAACAAACCAAGAAAAAAAAACCAAACCCAAAAATCCCAACAACACACACAACACCCCACCACATCACACCCACCCACACATCAATAATCTCGATCACTAGAGCATGTCCTGAAGAGCCATGTCTACACGTTTCTTAAATCCCTCCAGGGATGGTGACTCCACCACCTCCCTGGGCAGGCTGTTCCAGTGCCCGACCACCCTCTTAGTAAAGTAATTCTTCCTAAAATCTAATCTAAACCTCCCCTGCTGCAACTTCAGACCATTTCCTCTGCTCCTGTTATTATTCCCTTGGGAGAAGAGGCCAACACCCACCTCTCTCACCCACCTCCTTTCAGAGAGTTGTAGAGGGCAATGAGGTTCCCCCTCAGCCTCCTCTTCTCCAAATTAAACATGCCCAGGTCCAGTGAAAGGCCACGAAGATGATCAGAGGGATGGAGCACTTCCCTTATGACGACAGACTGAGAGAGTTGGGGTTGTTCAGCTTGGATAAGAGAAGGCTCTGGGGAGACCTTATAGCAGCCCCTTCCAGTCCCTAAAGGGGGCTACAGGAGAGGTGGGGAGGGACTCTTGATCAGGGAGGGGAGCAATAGAACGAGGGGTAATGGTTTTAAACAGAAAGAGGGGAGATTGAGATGAGATATTAGGAAGAAATTCTTTGCTGTGAGGGTGGTGAGAGCCTGGCCCAGGTTGCCCAGAGAAGCTGTGGCTGCCCCATCCCTGGAGGGGTTCAAGGCCAGGCTGGATGGGGCTTGGAGCAACCTGGTCTGGTGGGAGGTGTCCCTGCCCAGGGCAGGGGGTTGGAACTGGATGATCTTTAAAGACCCGATGGGACCCAGCCCTGGGCACCAAGGCCCGACCCCACCGCGGGGGCGAGCAGGGGGAGCCCCGCGGTTCCTTCCCGCCGCCCGGCAGCAGGTGGCGCTGTGGCGGGTGAGCGGAAGAGCCGGTGCCTTCCCGTGCCGGCATGGCGGGAGGGTTCCTGCTGGAGATCAGGCGGGGGACGCAGAGCGCCTTGCTGGTTATCCGGTAGTGCGGGGGCGCTGGCCGGCTGCCGCCGCTGGGGCCGGGGCCGGCGGGGGAGGCGGGGGGGGAGAGATGGAGTAGCTGGGCCGGCTGCTTATAAAAAAAAAAGGCTGTTTTGTTTTACCTGAAAAGTTACTGTTTTAAATGGGGAGGAGCAGAGGGTTTTAGGAGCGCTGCTGCTGCGGGGACAGGCTGAGAGAGATGGGAGGGTTCAGCCTGGAGAAGAGAAGGCTCCGGGGAGACCTTAGAGCCCCTTCCAGTCCCTAAAGGGGCTCCAGGAGAGATGGGGAGGGACTTGTGATCAGGGAGGGGAGCCACAAGGGCATTAGGTTTAAAAGAGGGGAGATTTAGACAAGATTTCAGGAAGAAATTCTTTGCTGTGAGGGTGGTGAGAGCCTGGCCCAGGTTGCCCAGAGAAGCTGTGGCTGCCCCATCCCTGGAGGGGTTCAAGGCCAGGCTGGATGGGGCTTGGAGCAACCTGGTCTGGTGGGAGGTGTCCCTGCCCAGGGTAAAGGGTAGGAACTGGATAATCTTTTAAGGTCCCTTCCAACCCAAACCGTTCTATGGTTCTGGAGCACACCAAAAAATCCAAAGCAAACCCACTGGAGTTCGTGGTTTGCGTCATGCATGTGCTGTTGCTTTTTCTAAAACTCTTTCTGTAGCTCTGATTGGAGGAGTTGAACAGGAAGTGATAAAATATAGTAAAATTACCAGTTTTAAAAAGCAAAAGTGCAAAATAAGGTCCCTTTCAACCCAAACCGTTCTATGATTCTGAAGCACACCAAAAAATCCAAAGCAAACCAGCTGCAGTTCGTGGTTTGCGATGTGCATGTGCTGTTGCTTTTTCTAAAAGTCTTTCTGTAGCTCTTATTGGAGGATTTGAACAGAAAGTGACAAAATTTAGTAAAATGTTTTACTGTTTTAAAAGCCAAAAGTAGTGGAATGAAAGGGAAACACGGTTGCTGAGTGTTTTGTGTTGCTCTCGTTTCTTCACCTGTGGTTTCCCGTATTCAAAATTATGTTCTTTCCCTCCTGTTTCGCATTTAGTAGCTGAAAATGCGTTATTATGATTCATCCAGGCTATTGTACTAAGGTTGTCACTGACCACTTAATTGTAAAGGATTGTGATTCTGTGTTGGAGCTGCTTGTTCTCATGGCCTGAGTTTGCAGAGGTTAGTTTTAAAAAGCAAAAGTGCAAAAAGTGGAATGAAAGGGAAACACGGTTGCTGAGTATTTTGTGTAGGAGGCTGAGAACTGCTCTCGGTTCATCCCCTGTGGTTTCCCATATTCAAAATTATGTTCTTTCCCTCCTGTTTCGCATTTAGTAGCTGAAAATGCATTATTATGATTCATCCAGACTATTGTACTAAGGTTGTCACCGACCACTTAATTGTAAAGGATTGTGATTTTGTCTTGGAGCTGCTCGTTCTCATGGCCTGAGTTTGCAGAGGTTAATGTTGCAGGCAACATCTGCAAAGTTGCCTCTTTCCATGGTGCTAATTCAGGTCTCAGATGTGATTGCATAAATAAGAAATATGGTAGTATAGCTGTTGCTTTTTTTCGTTCTGTCATCCAAGCTCACTTTGTTTAGATTCATTTAAAAGCATGTGACACAGAAAGATAGATTCGAGAACACAAAACTGTCGTTTCGTTCTGTCATCTACGCTCACTTTGTTTAGATTCATTTAAAAGCATGTGACAGAAAAATACATTCAAGAACCCAAAACTGTCATTCTGGGGTTTTCAAGTAGAAGTGACCCTTAAAGTATGTGATGTACAATAATGGTTTCAGCTCCAGAAACACACGGGAATACTCTGTTGATTTCATGGTGTGCTGGGGTTGCTTCTGTATGTTAATCTGTAGTTATGCATGTGCTTTGACAGCTCAGTTATATAAAAATTATTTTGTGTGTCTTATTAATGAGGCACGCTTAAAAAGATCAAAGATGGAGTTTTAAAAATTAACCTTCAAAATTAATACTTGAAATCCAGTGAAAAACATGTATGTGAACCAGACTGTAATTGACATATATATTGGATAACCTTAGTCAGCCTTTACTGTTTTATATTAGGATGCAAAACTAGTTATGTCTTTTGTGAAATTATATAAACCTTAGTCAGCCTTTACTGTTTTATATTAGGATGCAAAACTAGTTACGTCTTTTTTGAAATTATGTATTTTGTGAAATTTAACCTTTTAAAGTACTTTTCATTTGTGGTTGCAACCACATAGGTGAATTTACACATTAAATACTGAATGCCAGTGCAAAGAATATATTTTGATTCTTAAACTGTAGAAAGTGGGCAGTGCAAAACCTATTCATACGTAGAGCAAGGCTTACAGTTTTACTTTTCTTCCACCTCATGGTGTTTGATAATTTGTGGAGGCTTTTATAGCTCCTTTGTTAATCTGGAAAAGTTGTCTGAGCTGACTTCTGTGAGACCGTTTTTGCTTTGCTGGCCTGCAGAGGGTATTGCACACTTTCTGTTCCTTGAGTGGTACCACAGTGGCTGTGCATCTTACCTGCCTGAAAATTTAAGACTAGTGCCCTTTCCACCCCACCTAACTATTTTGTGTTACATATTGAGATGTACCCTCATATTGCAGAGATGCAAGTTAGCAGAACTATCATTACACAAGAGTAACGTTGAATTTTAATGTATACAATCTCTGTAATGTTACCAATATCTCAGCTCCCTCTGCAGAGAGGATTTGCACTTTTAACATAATTATTCACATATACAATTCCTATTCAGCAATATAAGGCATGCAGTGGAGGTGGCAAGTTTTTCAAAATCTAGTTATTTGCTTCTACAGGTAAATAAATTAAGGTTGTGTTTAAAATGTTAGCGTTTTGCTTTATTTTTTAGATCCTTTTTTTTTTTTTAGTTTGAGGTATTTCGAAGGATTTTTATGTACAAGTGACTGAACATTTTATACAACCTGGGAGATTAATACGTCCTCTTCTCTCTATAGATTTGGTTTATACTTTGAGGGAAAGTCTGAAACCCCAGAAGAGTTACGTTTTTTACTGTCAATCCTGTGGTGACATCATAGTAAAAGACCGGTGAGTACTGCTGTGTCTTGTATTTATAGCCAAAAATGCCATAGTGATTGCTATTCATGTTATTTAGCGTTCTTCAAGAGAAAGCTAAAAGGCATTTATTTTGAAACTGCTAGATGAGAACACTTTTGAAGCACTGCGGATAAAAGCAAATTTACCTGAAACAGGTTTCACCATTTATTCACTTCTTGATTTCATTCCGGCTGGAAAGTAGAAGTACTGTACAAAGAGTGTTTGGTGCATTGCCCTGGGATCTGGGAAATCTGGCTGCTCTGCTCTTCCTCGAGTGAGACATTTCCTTTTGTGGTTGGACTTCCCTATGTCTAAACTTTCTGCTTTGAGATCTATGGCTTTTTGTGTGGTTTTGTACGGCTTCAGAGATTAGAGTTGTGCTCTCCTGTACAAAGAGTGTTTGGTGCATTGCCCTGGAAGCTGGGAAATCTGGCTACTATTCCTCGAGTGAGGCATTTCCTTTTGTGGTTGGACTTCCCTACGTCTAAAATTTCTGCTTTGAGATCTATAGCTTTTTGTGTGTTTTTATATGGCTTCAGAGATTAGGGTTGTGCTCTCTGAGTCTTCTCCGTTGCCCTCAAGGCTGACAGATGATCATTAGGCCAACACCAGAATTAAGACCCCACCATGGCAGAGTTGTGGCTGTATCTCAGGCGGTATGTGAGACCACAGAGAGTGAAGACAAGTGATGGGTAGTGCCCAGAGTTACGGCGAAGCTGGGTGAGCAGATGAGTTATTCCAGCTTTCATCTGCAGGTGGGGCACGTGCAGTTTAAAATGCATCGTCGATCTAGAAAGAAGGAAGCCTTTTTATAAAAAGATTTTGCTTTCACCCGCTCAACAATACAAAAGGCACAAGAAACTACAAAGGGAAGGACGAGCATCTTCAGAAGAGAGTCGTCTGTGGACGGCAAGAAAAGGAGGGTGTCTGACTGTTGCCTTGGCAGCTGTGTGATTATTTGTTGTAGCACCATCAGCAAAGTTGTATCTGCAAGTTTTAAGTAAAGAGTAGAATGAAGAAAGTTTATGTAAAGGTTTCAGAAGAAGTAAGGGAACAAAAGGAAGGCATTCAAGGAATCTAGGCAGACAGCAGGAAGCACAGCTCTGAAACAGACAGTGCATGTTTAAAACTGTTGGAGAGGTGCACACCATTAAAGCCATTACCTGTTGTTTGGGTAAAGGGGCTGAATTTCTTCCCAGTGCAATAGTTTTCTAGAAAACACAGATTAAAGAAAGTGTAAATATGTGGACATTATCCATCAGTACCTCTGCATTCTCAATAAAATCACATGTAGAGGGACCACAGAATGACTATAGGAACTGTAGGCAGGAAAGTACTGACCACTGACTCTTGATGAGCAAACTGGTATTTATAAAGCCACATGTATATTTTCTAGCTTTAAGACCATTTTTTCACAACAGAAATCCGTGGTTCCAAACCTTGGCTTACACAATCCTCTGGCACTGTGTGTAACCAAAGAAAGTCAAAGAAAGCAAAGTCTGGTTTTGCCTGGAGCAGCCTGCTTGGTCCATACAGCTGTCCAGGAGAAAAGGATTTGTTTTTTTTTTTTGTATGTGACTTCTAAAAGTTGAATCTGAATCTAAATTAAGATTGCGTTATGTTTTGGTTTTGGTTGGGTTTTGTAAAATGAAGATGTACTGTGGTATTTTTATCAAGATTTTATCTTTTTGAAATCTGGTATCTGACTTTGAGGGACTTCAAAGGACGTGTTCTCTCTTGCTGTGGTAGCGGTCTGTTTCTGTTGGTTTTATATCAACATTTGTTGCAAGGGAACTTTACAAGAAGTAATAATAAATATAATTGCAGAATGCCCATTGTGATATTTTTCATGACTGTGTAGAACTGTTTTATTTTTGCCATGTAATTCAGTTCAAGAGAGGTTTATGCCAAGTTCTGCCTTACAAGCTTTGGAAGTTCAACCCTGGGAAATGCTTCATCACAAACTTGGCAGGAAACACTCAGCCATTGCTTTCTCAGAACTCATCCAAAGAAAGTGCCTTGGACTGAGAGTCAAACGCTTTCTTTTGGAGAAAATACCATAATTCATCCATTTTTTGCTAGGGAGTATGAGCTCTCTTTTAGTGTCTTAAAAAAGAATTTAATATATTGAAATATTTTTTTCTTTGTCCCTCTTAGGAAATTTCTCAGAGTTCTTCCTCTACCAAGTGAAAACTGGAGTGCTTTAGTTGAAGAGTGGTGTTGTCATCCTAACCCTTTTGCCAGAAGCACTTTGCACCCTCAGCGTGATGACTGTTTTCTTGGAGACACTTTTTTTCTGCTGAATTCAGGAAATGAATCACACGTGCCTGAATCTCCCACGTGCTGCTCAGAGGCTGGAGACCGTCCTTCTCAGAGTGGCTCCAACTTGGTAAAGTATTTTGTTTTAGTAATTCTTAAGTGAATGTATTTGGACTTTTTTCCCGTGCTTCTCAGAGTGGCTCCAACTTGGTAAAGTATTTTGTTTTAGTAATTCTTAAGTGAATGTATTTGGACTTTTTTCTTTGTAAAACACTTTTTTTTTTTTTTTTTGTCACTGGTTTATTTAACTTGCCTGTATTACAGAGCTGTTTTGAAGGTCATAGGGAGTTGTTGACATTCAGCTTCACAGAAGCCAGAAAATATTCTGAGCTCTGATTTACATTTTCTAAAGCGTGCACCTTGGTCTTGATATCGACCTCGCTATGTAGGAACAACTTCTTCCTGTAAACTCAATTAGAAACTACTGAATTATGTAGTTCTAAACCCAAACATTCCCCACCCCCAAAAAATATCTTGAGGGAAGGACATCAGCGTTTAATAAGATAATAACTTTAATGGGTTAGGTGTTTGTCGAAGGGTAGTGGAGTGAAGAATGAGGAAACTAGAGTAACAGTGCTTTTTCTTCTGAACTTATAACTAAATATGTAACCTTAAATGTGATCAATGGAATCACGGAATTGTCAGGTGTGATTTATGTATTTATTTATTTATCTTTAGAAAGACTTGGAAAAATCAGAATGTGTTCTGGATTCAGGTGGGTCTGGTTTACACTTTTAGAATACAGTAAGGAAATTGAGTTTGTTTGGCTGGTCTCTGTCTAGTGAAGGAGACCTGCCACCTCAGGTTATAACTCTTTTATGTTAATGTTTCTGAGATGTTCCAGGAGGGGATTTATCTGTCAGCTGAATCTCTAGGAAGAGGACTATCATTTGGTTTAGAAACATAAACATTTGTTGTTTTCCAGGAAAAAAAACCAAAAACATTTGTAGGGATACTGATGTTTAAATGGTGGGATAAAACCCATGAAGAAAGAAAATTCAGTGCTTTACCCATCTTGGAAGTCTAGCCCTTGTATAAAAATGTTCAAGTTAATAATCTTTTCTTCTACCAGAAGAACACCCAGGAATTTAGTTCACCGAAGCTTACGTTTCCTTACAGCCTCTTCTGTTAATCTGCTGCTTCTCTGTATTTGTGCAGAGAAAGGTGCTGAGAAAAGGTTGTGCTGCAGATACCACCTCTTCTTCCAGTACCACGTATTAAAATCTCACTATTGAAATCCTTCTACTGTTATGAGAACTGTTGCTGCCTTGGCAACTTGTGTCTGCAACAGCTGATGACTTGCTGTGTGCAGAGTCCCAACGTGAAACTTTTAATCTGTTGAGAGAAGTAACACCAGGGCCCCGATTTCTGTCTGCTGCTGCTTATCATTAGGGATTTGTATTATCCCCAGTTAAATCATCGGGATTCTCACAGTTCAACAGCTCCTGGTGCAGTGCATCCCGTCTGCTTTGGAAGCACTTCTGTCCTATGGTCTGTATCTACAAGTCTTGCAGCTGTGGTCCCTTTGTGGCTCCATTATTCTTTGAAAAGCAGAATATGGGGAGGGGAGAATAAGAGCTGATACCCTGAAAGGGTATCCGTGTGGGAGAAACAGATTAATGTGGATTAACTATGTGGCAATTGGAGTCATTTCTTCTAAGTATCTGTAAGAAGGAGGATGAGCAGAAGATTCTGAATTTCCCAGAGGATAATGCTTTCTGCCAGAGGTCCCCAAAATGAATTATCTCCTGTTTTAGAGATCTTAGAACAATGGGAACAAAGACGGGAAGAGGCAGGGGGCATGGAGTTTGGATTGCATCTGAAAGACAGGGGAGCAGTCTGCCCAACACGCTTCTTCAATCAATCAAAGAGAATGTTTGCCAGAAAAGGGTTGGTTTTGAGGCAGAAACATGATGAAAGGATGTGGGACAGAGATGGTACTGAGATGTGGGTCAAACCAGGACACCAGCAGAAATTTTGAATGAGGGAGAAGGCTATTTTCTGTCAGAGGCGTACAATAGTAGTTTAGTGTGATGAATTTTCCTGTTTGCTTCCTGAAACTTGCATTGAAGTTGAGAATTCTTTTCTTTTTTGTGTCAAATCCCTCTTTTTACATCTTTCACGCTCGCAATAAATTCTCATTTCTGTGTTTGCTTATTTCCAGCATCACTCGGTTGCCAAGCAAATGAGCAAACTGTAAGATCCAGCAGAAACTGGACTAATAAGGAAAAAGCCCTCACACTGAAAGAGAATATTCTTCCATAATATGAGTAATAGAAAGTTACAGGCAAGATAGATTGCTATTGGCATAAATGTTCTCATTTCAGAGAATATTGTTACAGCCTGCCCCAGTATGAAAGTTCTTTTTTAATTGCATTGCGGTTCTTTGGAAAGTGTTTGCCTATGACCAAAATAGTAGCAGGAATGTACCAGAGATACTTAAACAATCTTTTCCAGCCTCCAGTGGGACCAAGACAGCATCCGTCCATTGCAAACATATTTCTCACATCTATTAGTCTTCCAGTGTAACATAGTTTTTTAAATGTCACATGGTCTTGCAGCATCCTAATAGCATCTCTTGGGGAAAATAGTTTCCCTGACACCGTATCAGGGATCCTTAGGAATAGAAACAGAAGATATTAGGCTGGTGATCCACCTCCATCTGCAGCTTGCCAGCAGCTGCAAGTTGTCAAATAGATGTATTGATTTAATTAGTCTAGCTAAAACTATCGCTTCTTCCGTTGAAGCACGATACAACGAGTTAGCGGTGTTTTTTAGGTACCACACTGCACAATTCTCAGCTGGCACCTGTAACTGTAGTGGGGAAAAAAACATTCAAGTTGTAGCTTTCAAGGAAGCACCGTCTATTATATGTCTGTACCATGCAAAATTTGTACCAACCTCAAATACTGGTTTTCACAAAACCCTGTCTACTTATCCCTGCTCTCCACATGAAACAAGTCATTTTACTGTGTGTGTTGGAGAGGAGCTGCAAGGTAGGAATTGGGAAATGGGATAACTGTGTACATATGAACCATATGTTTTTTTCTAATCTCTGTAAAAAGAGGGCTGTACTTCCCACGTAGCTCTCTGAAGCTTTAACAGAAGCTGTCGGGCTCTCCCTGGAGCTTTTAGTTTGGTTCCTGATTTGTAAGGAAAAAGCAGGACTTTGTGATCATAAGTTCAGATTCCACGTGGGACGCTTCTGGTTTTTATGGAGCTAGAGTGTTCCTTTCTATTCATTTTATTATTTGCATGGTATGGATCAGAGAGCTCTGTTAGGTCTTTCCAGCATCAAATCCATCAATTCTGCCTGAGTTACAGCTTTGAGAAAGACATCCAGGATTGATTTAATACTTCAAATGATGGAAGCTTTATCACATTCCTTGGTAAGCTGCTTCAGTGGTTAGTCATCCTGACTCTGCTCTCTTGTTATTAAATTAAGCACACTAAGAATTGCAACTCTGTATCTCTTTTTATTTCGCAGATGTATTTATTTTCTAGAAATTATTTTTGTAGCAGTTTTCCAAACTGTTTTCCAAATTTTTAACATACTTTATAGATCCATTTCCGCAACAATCATCTCACTAATTCTGAAGATGTTATATTTCTCTGTTTATCTGTGTCAGCTATTCAGTTGTTCATGCATTCAGAGATCATATTTGCCCTTTCTTTTGCAGCATCTCAGTAACTCTGGTCTGGTGTGTGGCCATCATCTAAATTATTTTGATTTTTGTGGTCTTCCACTATATATTCCTTTATTTTATCACTGGCTTTGTTGTTGTTGTTGTTCTGAATGTATGGTCTGGTATTTGGCTGTGTTTTAGTGATTGTGAGATTTAGATTGTGAGACTAAGCACAATCTACTTAATGATACAGCCTGGTGTGTATAACTCTTCTATCTCCCTTGTTTACCACTTCCCTGTCACTGCAGCAGAGAGTGCTTACACTTTTCCATAGAGTAGCTGAAAAAATTGTCCCAAAGAGCCTATTTGACTTGTCTATAATTTCTTTGCTTCACGTAGTAGATTTTGTGTGGTGCTCTCATAGGCCACAGAGCACTGCTTTTTGTTCTGGCCATCAGTCTGACAGAATTATCTCCCATCATACTTTGAAAATTGGCATGCTAAGGTATATGATGGTGATGAATAAAAACTATGCCCCCCAAACTTACCACTCTCTACAACTCCCTGAAAGGAGGGTGTAGCCAGGGGGGGTCGATCTCTTCTCCCAAGGAACAGGCCATGGGACAGGAGGAAGTGGCCTCAAGTTGTACCAAGGGAGCTTCAGATTGGATATTAGGAAAAATTTTGACACTGAAAGGGTTATTAAGCCTTGGAATGGGCTGCCCAAGGAAGTGGTTGAGGCACCACCCCTGGAGGTATTTAAAAGACGGGTTGGCATAGTGCTTAGTGACATGGTTTAGTGATTGGTTTTATGAGAGTTAGGTTGATGGTTGGACTCGATGATCTTAAAGGTCCCTTCCAGCATAGACAATTCTATGATTTTGTCTTTTACAGTGGTTACAGAAAAAGATCCATGTGTGCTATAAGTACTGGTTCCATCCCAGAGCTGTGCTGTGCTACAACAGGTTAATAACCCCACACAGAACCAGTTCTGGAGTTTAGATTTTGGATTAAAGTAAGAGTTGTGCTTAATTGTATCTATATACTGATACTGATTTTATACGTTAGCACTGGAATGAGCAGGGGTGTTACTAGATCAGAAGCTCATGCAGAAAGGAGATCTTTTGCAGTGGGCAGTAATGGATGCATGAAAGTAAGGCAAATATTATGTGATGTTTTGGCCAGTGTAGAGACTGCTTGAACTAGATGTTTTTATCCATGTTTTTTGTTTTGAATAAACCCTTGATAAACATTGGTTCTCCTGAATTTCTGAGGACTTTTTGAGCCTATGTATAGTTTTAATACCAAAAATACTTTCCTGTAATGAATACTAAACTATATTATGCATTGTGGGATAAAAACTTTCTTTTTCTTTGAAACAAACCAGGTTATAATTTCATAGCATGAACTATGAAAGTAAATGGGTTTTTTTGCCTCTTCAGCTTTTCCTAAACATTTTTAATCTTGCATATCTCAACAATAACACTCAGTTTTCTATCTTTCATGCTTCTTCCCATTACTTGTGGTTTCTTGCCACATATGGAAACTGGTTTGCACCTCTGACAATTCTTCATCAATACCTTTTCTGTTTCTGCTTGAGTTGAGGGAGAGGGGTTGTTTAAGAACAGTATCCACGGCACTTTTCTGGAATATCATACTGTGTTTTGTTCTTCAGCTGTTTCTTAGTAGTTCAAAATACCCTGTGGACATTTTCTGCTCTCTGCTGAGCATTGGACTATTGACAGTGGCTACACCTTTACTGAGTGATGGCAGTCACATTGCAGTATAATATTTTATGTATATATTTTGGAAGACTTCTCATGCATTGTTTTGCCCTTACCAGAATCAAATTTACCTTGTCATTTTGTCATCTAGTCACGCAATATTGCAAGATTTTCCTGTTAGCTATTGCAGGTTGTGCTGTGTGATCAGTATATATTGCCAGATTTTAAAACTAGTATGAAACTAGCAAGCAAATCAAAGTGTAGAAAGCTGAAATAGTGAATGCAAATCTGTGTGTACGTAAACATAAAGAGAACAGCAACAAGTACAAAGTTCACGATATTCTCTGGAGAGTGTGTTAAAATTATACATTCCTTTTTCAGAATAACTGAGTGACATTTAAATGACATTTCTTTGTCCTACAGAAATCAAAGGAAAATACCAGAGTAATTTGTAAGCGCTGCAAGACGATGCTGGGAGAAACAGTATCAGCAGGTATGGGATACGCAAACCAAAGTAGACTTCACTGCATCAGCCGTTGAGCACTGGAGGTTAAAAACTCTGGAGGAAAGGAGTTTAGCAGTAAGGTGCAGGGCTGATTCCTGTATATCTCTCTTTATTCCCTTCTGGAACAGACGTGGTTGTTGCTTCTACTGTTAGATCTTGAAAGTGACTTATGACAGGGATTTTCTTTGTCCTTGTTTCTGTTTCATGCGATGATGAGATTATTAGTTTAAAAGCTGTCATTATATTGAATCAGCAGGGTTTACCTGAAGTAATCTAAAGATGAGTCTCTGGTGGTTTTCAAAATGCAGTTATTGACAGGAGAGAAGCAATGATAAGACTGTTACTAGCAGGGTTCAGTCTTTCATCCTCCCTCTACTCCACTGCATCATTCAGCGTGAGACTGGCTCAGTTCAGAGATCTGGAGGATATAAAGACTTCTCCAAAAATGCAAAGCTTGTTTAAGAAATACATCATGAGGGACACAAAGCAGAAGGAGGCTCAAATTGACCTGTACAGTTCATCTGAACAGTACAGACTTTAACAAGACCAAATTTCAGGTAGGATGTTTGAAAGCCCTGGAGGATATAAAGACTTCTCCAAAAATGCATAGCCTGTTAAGAAATACATCATGAGGGACACAAGGCAGAAGGAGGTTCAAATTGACCTGTACAGTTCATCTGAACAGTACAGACTTTAACAAGACCAAATTTCAGGTAGGATGTTTGAAAGCCCACAGTGCAGATTGTAAGACTTTGGGAAAAAGAGTGGTTGGGAAAGGACTTTACAAATCATGGTGAATAATGTATGTCTTAATCTAAGCCTTCAGACGGTTGTAGCAAGCAGCGGTTGATGGGATGACAGGGTATGGGAAAAGGCAAATATGATGTTGATGTGGAGGGAGTTGGCCTGGACTCTGTCAATGGCTGAAGTTGGATAGCACATCCATTGTTTTGATGGTGTTTTTTCAGTACTGTAGGGACTCTACAGGGTAGACAAAAAACCAAGGCAGATAAAACCCAACCAGAGGTGTGTGGTTTAAGTGTAGACAGAACCATCACTGTGAAAAGAGAGCAGACTTCACTATCATGCTTTGGTGCTTCCTCATGAGGAGATATCAGTGCCTTGAAGAGACAGAACCATCACTGTGAAAAGAGAGCAGAGAGCAGACTTGACTATCATGCTTTGGTGCTTCCTCATGAGCAGATATTAGTGCCTTGAAGGTTGTAGCAAGCAGCGGTTGATGGGATGACAGGGTATGGGAAAAGGCAAATATGATGTTGATGTGGAGGGAGTTGGCCTGGACTCTGTCAATGGCTGAAGTTGGATAGCACATCCATTGTTTTGATGGTGTTTTTTCAGTACTGTAGGGACTCTACAGGGTAGACAAAAAACCAAGGCAGATAAAACCCAACCAGAGGTGTGTGGTTTAAGTGTAGACAGAACCATCACTGTGAAAAGAGAGCAGACTTCACTATCATGCTTTGGTGCTTCCTCATGAGGAGATATCAGTGCCTTGAAGATAAAGCTGGATTAGAGTGGTGTAGCTGTGGAGGACAGATTTGGCTTTGAAATTCCCCTGTCAGCTATTCCTTTCCCCAGCTCTATCCCCATATGCTCGTATGCTTGGGAAATTCCACCTTCTATCTCTCTGCAAGCAAAGATCTCCTTAATTTCCAATGCCCTTTCAGCAGTAGAACCAATTCTTTACTCAAGGAAACAGCTGGGGAGCTGGAGGGACTGAACTGGCTTCTTTTCCTCTGTCTCCCAGGACTAGGCATAGAGCGAAGCAAACTAAAATTAAACTAAGAGGTAAAATATAATTTCCTGACAGGATAATTAAAAAAGTGTAGTATTTAGCTGGAGAAGGGTTGGGATTACCAAGCCTTTGGAATCTTTAAAACAGATTAAGTGTCTTTCTGAAACGCTTGCTTTTATCCACTTTTAATGGTGCATGTGGGCAGAGATCGGATGAGACAATCCCCTCCACCCTTAAGATTTATGGAACTGATGAATCTTTACTGTTGCTCACGTGCTAAGGTTTAGTGGAATTAATTTATTACTCTATATGCTTAACCAGTTCTTCTGGCCCTCTGGTTAGGCTGTCTTTGTAGCATAGACCCGGAGCTTCAATATGATCATCTTTGACCTGACTTCACTGCTGGGAATTAAATTCTATACTCAAAACATTTCCATTTAGTGTGAAAGGCTGTCTTAGTGGGGCTTTTGGGGAACAGTTACGTTGAAACTGGGAATGTATGCAGTATTAGTGTTAAGTTACAGCAATTTTTGGAAAGAAGTTTTATTCTGCTCTTTGAGCAAAGAAGAAAATTATTCCCCTGTGTGTGCTGTTATTAAAACTGTCTCTTGTGATTCACTGCAGCATTACTGAGCAGCAGAGGGTACTAAAATACTTATGTAAGCTGTGCTGATCTCAGGGCTTTAGGAAAGTTCTTTCAATTCATCTTTCAGGTTTGGCTGGAGCTCTTGCTTGCTTTGTTTCAAGATGATTGTTCCCGGCGTTAAACAAGGATCAATATGAATGACAAATTGCCGATTGTGTAATTAGCTCAGAGTAGTTTTCTTCTGGCAGTGTATGTTTTCTGTTATTGGTTGCTTCTCCTCCCACAAAGCAAAGCAGAATTTGACCATCTGCTGCGCCTCTTAATTGAGTGCTGAGCAAAAGTTTAATTAGTACAGAGATACGGTGACTTACAGTCTGCTCCTAACAAGTTGGTTGTTCTGTTATACTTGAAAAATGTTTTTGTCATTTTAGATATCATTAAATACTATGTTACCGAGGTGATTATTCGACCATCCGAGGAAAGTTTCAGCCCAACACCAAGGTAACAAATAAAAATAAATTAAAAAATAATATCATTTGCTTAGGTTTATGTTTTAGAAAGGATGCTAGGTACTCACTAACATTTTAATTTCTTTAATAATTACGTGTAGTAACAAACTGCTGTAAAATTGTACGTAATCATTTACAAGCATTGTCAAAGTAATGGAATCTGAGTTCACTCATGTATAATTTTTTTTGCTTATCTTTGTGTGTGTTTGTGTGTGATGCAGGAGAGAGGTTGTGTGTAATTTGTTGCAGTGTCTCACTATTCAGGTGGTATATTTGGGAGGTGAGGTCAGTCTCTTCTCCCAAGTCACAAGTGATAGGACAAGAGGAAATGGCCTGAAGTTGTGCCAGGGGAGGTTCAGATTGGATATTAGGAAACATTTCTACACCGAAAGAGTTATTTACCATTGGAGTGGTTAATAACTGGCTGCCCAGGGCGGTGGTTGAGGCACCAGCCCTGGAGGTATTCAAAAGACAGGTTGACATAGTGCTTAGTGACATGGTTTAGTGATGGGTTTTTCTCAGAGTTGGCTTGATGGTTGGACTGGTTCATCTTAAAGGTCCCTTCCAACCGAGACAATTCTATGATTCTGTGATAAGCCAAAATACAATACTTAACTTCTTTTGAACTATTTAAGTTTGCATGATGTCTGGAGACTAATCATGAAAATGGAAGGTTACATTTTGTAAAGTTAAATTAAGTAAAGCTTGAGATTTGAAATTGGAAGTGAGATTTTTGAATTTTCACGTACTTCAGTTTGAATGTAAGACTAAGATGAAACAGAACTTGATCTAGCTGTCTTGTTTCACGTGCTATGCGTTAGTTCTTTCCTTTTGTGCATTATATTTGAAATGTGCACCATTCTGAACTTTGTGTTCATATGTGTAAAATATAATAGGGAAAAGCTTTTATTCAGCACTTGACATTTGGTGTTGGTCAAAATAAAGGATGTGGAGCAATTTAAACTGCTGATCTATTTAAAAATGCCTGTTGCAGGAAATAGAAAATCCTGTGACTTTGAGGGAGAGAAAGATAAAGCCCCATTTCTCAATAAAAAGTGATTGTAGAATGTAGTGGAATTGACTGTCTGGAGATGCTCATATGCTCATACTGCTTCAATATTTATGATTTTACCCATGTAGGTGTTATAAAAACTTACAATACATGGTTAATCCTTAAACAGGTCTCAATTCCTACAGAGTGTGGTTGCTCAGTGTCTGGTGGAATTGTCCTCTGCTAAAAGCACGTTTAGATTCACCATAAAAGGAGATGATGGAAAAATCTATATTCTGGTAAGTTGTTGGGTTTTTTTTATCTTTATCCTGCAAAAAAGGTTTAACCTATGAATCCTAGCTCCTAAAATGTATTATTCATGCTGTGCATGATTATATGTTTAAAGAAAATTAACAAATTCAAATTCTTGTGTTGAAGTAGTTCTGAAGAATTCTGTTGAAGTAGAAAATTTCCCTCTATTTTATAATCTAAGTAGATGTACATATAGAAATTTTCTCTATTAATACACTAATGAAAGTACTACAAATGCACCACAAGTAGCACAGAAATAACAGTGTTTTGTATTCAGAAAATATGGAAAGCTTAGGTTTTGACTTCATAATATATATCTCATCTTCTTGCTCCAGTGCTTCTTATCTTTAATCACCAGAAGTTCATCAAATTGTACAGCATCTTTCACAAATATTGTCTGAAGTCAGCAGAGACTGCTAATGTAGTCAGTACATTGCACTGCAAAGTGAAGTGCAAACAAAAATAAAATTGCCTATTATACTTAATGTTCTAATGCTGTTAAACTTGACTAAGCTTGATATTTAAATAGTGACAGCTAAGTTCCTCAAATTTTTAAGATGGATAGGAATTTGGATCTGGAATTATCTTAATTATATTCACTGGGTGTAACCAGAGATGTTTTCTTTTATTCGTGAACTAAATATAGGAACATTAATTTGTAATTTTGCAGTTTGTAGGAGTAATTAATAGACACAAATTAAAGAAATACCTGACAATTCCTGGATAAACTTATAGATGCACTTTGTTGAGGTAGACAATCTAATGAAATAAGCTGTTTTATATATACCTTGTCCAAGTTCTATCATTTTCGAACATCCAGATTCTAAGGAAATTGTTTAACTGCTGCTTTTAAATAAATTTTAGTGCCATAACATAAATGAACAACTTCTTTGATGATAAAATAAGGTCTTATGAGCAGACCCATAATTATTACTATGTATAAAATAATTCAGGAGTCATTAAAATATTTTTGTGTTTTTTTTTTTTTTTTTTCTGTGTTGCTTATTTGTTTCCAAGTTACCTAATGCTCTGATGCTGAATTCTAGTAGTTTATATAGAATGAACTGGTGGTAGAATGAGTTATATAGAATGGACTGAACTGGTAGAATGTTATTGTCAGATGCCACATACCAACACTTATGGTAGAAGGAGGTACTTTTCAGATTGGACCATGTCACAAATGAGATGGTTTGGTTGCCTTCTCTAAAGCAAGTTGCAGAAGAGTTCTGAAAGGAGCAGACAGATGTGTTGTTCCCTAGACTAGTTTCAAGGATATTCATCTTCTGAAGAGCATCCCAGGAGGCTGCTTCACAGGGCAGTGTTAATGATTTTGAAAGGAATGAACTCTGTTTAGTTAAAGCTCAGTGTGTTGGCAGCAGCCTGTGTGTACAGGACACTTCTCTCTTTTTCCCCTTTTCCTCTAACACCTTTTCAAAACTTGGTTTAAAGCACACGTGTAGTGGCTCTAGCTAATGAGGTATCTTTTGTAGTTTAGGCTATGAACGTGTACAGTGAGTTACCAGAGCAAAACTGATGAACAGCCACCTGCTAAGCCAAGTGCAGTTGCTTGCCATCATTTATGTGCATATGCTAAAGTGATTCTCCTCCTCCCATCCCCTCCCAAGACATCTGTATCAATATATCTCGTTCCTCCTTTATGGAGCTTCTACTGTAGTGTTCTGAGCCTTGGGCTCTGATAAATTGTGACTGTCACATTCAATTACGACATATACTGTGTGTCCTGTTAACGGTGGCTTTCTCCCTCCACGGGGGATATCATATGTCTGCTCCCTAACATTGTCTAACTTGCTTTACTTGAAGCTGATTAGGTCATGAGAAGCAGAAGATTACTCTCTAGTAAGCAGCACTGCATAAATCCTGTTTTCTATGATAAATATTTCATATATAAACATTTCATATAGGCTCAGGACTTGTAAAAATTGATTTTCATTGGTAACTCGGATCGCTTCACTACCGCAGGCCGTGAATAAAGGAAAAGCCTGACTTTTTTCTACTTAGCACGAAAGCCCTGAATCCAAGTTGGAACGCTGCTGCACAATGACACGAAGATCAAATAAGATCATAATGTGATGCAGAAAGTTCAGGTTTCTCAAAAGTCTCCCCAGGAAATATCCCATGAATTGCTGTGAGCAAGGCATGCTGAAGAATGCCAGTCCCATTTTCAAATTAGATGAAGATTTATTTTCCAAGTAAGGGCTCGTTACAGCCATTTATAAATCCCAGCCTTCCTTTTAGACTACATTAATTGCTGTCTTTTTCCTTGCATGTCTTTGCTCCATCCAGCCATAACTATCATGCTTTTTCTAAAAATCCTGATTCTTGGCACTTCCCGTGGGCAGTCTTTCAGTTCCCTTTCTTTAGTCCTCAGTAATTCAACACCCTATGCTCAACTAATTCCTAAAAAACTATGAAACTAGAGAAATAATCCATTTGGTACTGAAACAGACGATTTAGGACTTTTTTTTGTTTTGTTACTATCAAAGGGAATGTGCTGCAGCCACAAAAAGAGGCAGCTTCACAGAAATAATGATCTTAAGAGTGACTGTGATAGATCAGGCATCAGTATATTGTATTAACCCATTTTTCTCCACTAGAGGCTGTGTGTGCAGGCTGCACCGAATAATAAAATGTCGATTTATGTCCATTAACACTTGGTTAGAAACTTTGTAAGAATGTGGCTTTAGGATCAAAGGAAAGCAAAAAATTGAAATTGATGTAATCTATAGTAAAAGAAATTATTTCTTCATTTATAGATCTGGCTTCTAAATTCTGACACATTGCTCGTGGAGTCTTTAGGAAGTTCATCCTCCCACAGTGTTTTCACACTGTTTGGAGATATTTTCCTGCCTAGCTCTGGACCAGTGGGGGCCTGGGATGCTGTCAAAGTCCTTTACCAGCCATGCATTAAAAGCAGGAATAAGGAGTAAGTGTCACCTTTTCTCAGGTTCTGATCGTTGTTTTGTTTTACTTTTCAGGACAGCAATATTTCTTTGAGGTTCTTCGGATGGTCTGTTAATGTTAGAAGTGTATCTCTTTGAAATTGCATACAATTTTAATTATTTTTTTTTCTTTTAATTTTTAGTAAAATGCCAGAGGAATAGTATTTGGTTTCGGTTACAGCCAGAGAGAATCTGGTGGTTAAATTTTTGCACTGTAACATTAAAATGTAGACCAAAGAGTTACGTTGTTTCTAGAGGCAGGCGGAGATAACATAGGTATATGATACAGATAGAAGTTGTCTCCTTTGTACAGCAGAGTAATGTGCTTTTTCATTTATCTTTTCACCTGTGTCCTTCGGACGGTCTGTTAATGTTAGAGGTGCATCTCTTTGAAATTGCATACAATTTTAATTATTTTTTTTCTTTTAATTTTCAGTAAAATGCCAGAGGAATAGTATTTGGTTTCGGTTACAGCCAGAGAGAATCTGGTGGTTAAATTTTTGCACTGTAACATTAAAATGTAGACCAAAGAGTTACGTTGTTTCTAGAGGCAGGCGGAGATAACATAGGTATATGATACAGATAGAAGTTGTCTCCTTTGTACAGCAGAGTAATGTGCTTTTTCATTTATCGAATCTGGTGGTTAAATTTTTGCACTGTAACGTTAAAATGTAGACCAAAGAGTTATGTTCTTCCTAGAAACACGTGGAGATAACTTAGGTATATAATACAGATAGAAGTTGTCTCCCTTATACAGCAGAGTAATGTGCTTTTTCATATATCTGTTTTTCACCTGTGTCAACTCACTCTGCACTTCTAGAGCTTGGTTGTTTTTCTGGCTCTGTTGGAAGGAGGTGGAACCCTGAATCTCAGAGATGTCTCTGAACGTGCTGCTCTGCAGCCGTAGCTCCAGGTGCTGTAATTCAGGGAGGAGGAAAAATTGTGGGGAGATAAGGGGATGGACTGACACCCAAATGATGCTTAAGTTTAGCCAGATCTCCCTCTTGTCTTCAATTTCTGTGTTTTGTGTGAAAATCTGATCTCAACTCTCAAGTGAGAGCTACTTATGGCAGTAACCCTCTGTGCACTCCCACAGTACAGGAGTTGGATCTCTTTAGTACGGCTGGAACCAAGAGGGTAGAGGTGGGTAGTTACTAGTTTAGCAAATCATACCTACCTGTTCCAGCTTCAGTCTTGACCTTTTTGTGCCTTAAAATTGTGCTTTGTTTTGAAAATACAGAGCTGTTCACGGGACTGGAATTTGTCTGCTTAAGCCAAGTTATCTCAGTACTAGAGGTGTTGTCTGGTGGGTTGCAATAATTAACATAATTATCATCTCTGTGTACACAGACAATGCATCTAACAGTGTCCCTGTTAAAAGATTCCTTGTGCATGTAGCCTGACAGAATAATATGAATAATGCTATATCAGTATAGCATACTCTCAGCTTATGGCAGATTCTCAAAAGAAAAGTCCTTTTTAGATATGATTCAGAAGTTCCTTGAGTTATCAAATTAGTCTCTGTGTGAAACTTGCTTCCAGCCCAGGGGTGGCATTATTTCCAAAAGGAGTAGGGCCCTGAGAGAAGGGGAAAGAAGAGGTGAGGAAGGTGGTTGAGTACAATACCTTATAAATGTTCTTCCTGGACACGTTCAAGACTGCTGGAGCCCTCACAAAGGAAACATTTGATTTCAGCGAGCTTTGAAGTATGTATTATGAAAAACATACACTGCCTAACATGTTAAAGCCTTTATCTGTTGGAGAGCAAAGATAAGAGGATATTGATCGAGCAGAGACTCCAGTGTTTGCAGCTGATGGACTATGATTTTAGCATAATTTTCTGCTTTTGTTTCAGCAGCAATAGAAAAGAAAGCATTGGTTTTGTATAGGTCAGACTTAAATAGTGGATTGGTTTTATTGTTTTTCCTTTAAACTCCTGGAAACGAGGTGACAGATTTAAAGAGGTATGAATGTATTTAAAATTTAGAAGACACTCCCTCCTGACTCAGTACACAACTAATTTATAGCCCAAAACCTCATAAAAGTACAACAGAAATGTTGTCTCCCACAGACAAACAAACACGTGCCTACAAATTTAAATATTTTCATAGGAGAAATATACACCTTACAAGAATATGTGACTCATCATAGTGTTTATTCTGAATGTCGCCAAATGTATCCTTTTTCTTTTTCAAACAGATCCACTATTGAATAGCTGAAATAAACTCTGACATAGGGAGAGAATGTGGATTTGTAATATTTAGAGAAAAGGTCGTGCTACATTATTAATGTTATTCAGGTAAGAGAAAAAAATACCTTTATTAATGTATTAGGTTCAGAACTTGGCACTGGAAAACCTCTGTGATCTAAATGATATTTAGTGAGCCAAAATACATCTTGAAGTATTATCATTTAAACTGCTTATTGTTGGAAAGTGAGATACTGCAAGAAGCACTACCTGCTCTAAAATGAAAGACACTTCACTTATTACCACTCTTTAAGTCTTACAGAAGTGTGACTTCCAGCTTTGCTTTTCAAGTTTCAGTTCTTTATCACCAAGAAGATTTAATTACCTTAACACACATTCAGTTACTTTGACATGTTATTGAGATAAAAGTCAGATCTACTTAATCACTTACCTGGCATTCATAAATGCTTTTCCTGAATAGGGTTCTCAGCAGCAGAATTTTACTGTGAGATTATATTCATTTTTTTCCTTTTCCCCAGACAGACTTGTTACAAATCACTTGTTTCTGAAGATGGCTTTGTATTTATCTGTGGGATTCTGCAGTGAGGAGAAGGCACAACTGAGGTTTTAATTCTCTTCTGACAGTAATTGACATTTTCCCTGTGCAGTCCCTGGACAAACGCACAGAAGAGGAGGGAAAGAATAGGAGATTCTTTTTCAGGTTCAGAAACCAAAGTAACTGTTGGTTTAGTATTGTTTTCCCATTTTCGTATTTCTAGTAAAGAATGAGAAAAAGTCTGAAGTCTTTCTGTATTGGACAGGAATGTAAACAGAGAGGAAGCAAAAATATCAAAACCAGTGCAACTTATTGAATGCAACGTGTTTGCATTTAGATCTCAAATATTATTTCAAGAGTTCTGAACAAAGTGTCTGATTCCTTGAAAGTGCAAGTTCCAAATGTGCTAGATGCCCACGTTCTGATAATAATTAAAATAGTGACCTTGCTTGTTTCTGTACCCATGCCTGCCCTTGAAATCATCCAAAGGTTTCAGAGCCCGTGGTCTGCTCCCTGTGAAAGGGGGGAGTAATCAAGGATACCTCCTGTGTCGGAAGCAGGCAGCAGGAGGTCTGCTCGTGACCTGGAGTGTCGGAAGCAGGCAGCAGGAGGTCTGCTCATGACCTGGACCCAGATGATTCTGTGTCATTCTGTGATTACACAAGTTCTGGGTGGGTCTGCCTACAGTTAGGTTTCCAGCTTTATGAATAATCCTTCTATAACAAATTAGTTGAAATTGTTTGCTGTCATTTCTTATTGTCACCTATGGAAACAGCATGGTAGGAGTGTAGCTGAGTCCCATTGGAGAAGGCCACCTCATGCGTTTTTTGCTCTGTTCTTACTTAGATATTTATTGATGATGTGTATGTGATTATGTTGGTTCCCTCTGCTTTTCTCTCAGCAAGGCTCCTTTTCTCCACCTACAAAGTTGCTGTGCAGACAGAAGAGGTCTACTTTTCGAGTAACAGGCTCTTGGCAAATAACACCTTATGCAAACAACCTTGACTGCTGGGAGTCATAATGGTAAATGCTGCTGAAGTGAAAGCATTGTAAAAATGTATGAAGAAAATTGAAAATACGGTTACATGGCAATTCGACTGTAACTTGATCTCAGAAAATATATGTGAAAGTTGAGTTAGAGGTAAATTACACTTTTCCCTTTACAGTAATGTCCCAGGCAAAGCTTTGTCAAAAAAGTCCTTGATAGCTTTTTATTTCTCATATCCATCCAGAGTCTCTCTGAATAGTTTACAGCTTTTGCAGAAGCCTTCTCCTGTGTAAGAATCTGCTGCTTATCATTTGAGAACTGAAAAAATGACTTCCAGAAATTGTTCATTTTATTAGCTGTGGAGGGACAGAATAAGCTAGAAAATTGAGTTTGTGGCTGCAAACCTGGAAGTTTTGAGTCTCGGTGCTTTTATTACATTCTATGTATAGTGAGCTGTTTATGAAGCTGTTACTGATGTATTCCAGAATGTTGTTTATTTGTCCCAAGAATGGTTTTCATTCTGTGTATGACTCTAGAGTAATTCACCTCTCATAAAAGCACTGAACTGTGTCCTATTTCACTGATTTTTTTTGTATGTCTGAAACAGAAAGCCTTTTCCTGAGTGTTTCAGTAACTCTTGCCCGTAGAAGCCACACGGGAGCGCACAGACCAAGAGTTGATTTAGTGAGGAGTGACCAATGTTTCACTGTCCTTTGCTCTCTCTAAGGTGATTTCTGTAGTATAATAAACTTCTAGTGCTATATCTGGAATGATTATATGAGTGGGTGTGATTGTAAATGGAGTGTGAAGAATCTGTTTTGTTTCAGCTGAGTTTTTTTTCTGTTCCCTTCTTGAATTCTTTCATGGTGTGAAGTTCAGAGAGCTGACACCACAGGTGAGGTGGGTTGCATTAAAAGAGCTGACTGAGCAGTCAGGCAAAGCTTTTGAAAGACTCAGTCTGATAACAGAGTTTTGGGACAGGAGGGGAAAAAAGTGCTTTTCAGAGTTTGATAGACATGTAGAAGCTGGAGACCTCCTGAACTTTGAATGCTTGGGCTGAAGCTTGGAGGAAGAGATGAAAGCTCCATCTGAAAACTATTATTTTTAGCTAGAGATCATTCTCCAGAAGAAAGCACTGTTCTTCAGTACTGGTAACGTCCTTTCCCACCTCTAGGAAAAGATGTATGCAACTTTTAAGTGCAATATTCAGGAGAAATATCCCGACTTTCTTGTTTATTGAAACCAGACCTGC